TGGGAAGATCCCCTGTCGCGTCGACAGAAAAGCCTCTCTTGCAGGTGCTGCCGATGCATCTCTGTGGTCGATGTCATCGTGCATGGTGGCATGTTTGGGTGGGGAGGGGCGTCTCTGTCTTTGGAGCCTGGACCCTCCTGTGGTGCTGATGGTTTTGAGGAGGTTGCCCTCTGTGGTGCTGGAAGCACCAAGCACCTTGATTCAGTTGTTGGTACCCTTGAGGATGGACGCTGAAGGTCAGTTTGGGTTGAAAGTGACAGTGTGACAGTCTTGATGACAGCTACGAGCCACGATTGTTGCCTCAACGGGCAGTCTCCTGTCAGGTCTTGGGTTTTGCGGGCGGAGTCAGCATTGCGGGGATTGCAGGGACCTCGGAAGCACCGCGGGAGGTCTTCATGGAACGCGAGGCTGTATAAAGGAAAACAATGGAACACATATAGAGGCCCCCAAATAGATCGACGCAACTTCGACTGAATTTGTAGAGGGGACTTGCCATTTCTGTCTTTTTTGGGATGGTCAGTATACATCCAGGCACAAGATTGCTACAAACCTGGATGGATATTGTCCTGCGGTGTGCTATGCTCTTATACCAGTTGTGGGCACCAAAGAAGCCGTGGCTGAACATTTATCCGCCCGACTGGTGACTGCCATCGAGAGCACTGGACAACCCCCGCCATGTGTGCATGTCTACGAGTCTACTTCTTTTACATGCTCACTTCTGCAATCCAATGGCAATCAGATGGCCCAGTTTCTCCGCATGAAAAGGTCAATACCTGGCACTTGGAGAACTTTGCAGCGCTGGGCTTGAGAGGTGGGCGTCAGGTCACATTCTTCCACGTCACTCTCCCCGAAGTGATGTCACCTGATGGGAACCCCTCAGGTCTTCCAAGCAGTCGGGGCGCCCGCGCCGAATCGCCCTGCGAATCGCCCTCCGCCCTCCTCGCCGGGGGCGCCTGCAGGAACTTCGATGGGGCTGTGCGTGCTCTTGTGTTGGGAGCAAGCGACCCGCAACACATCATGCTGCAAGTGTGTGAGGCCGCGTGGCGGAGACGAAAATACGGATGGAGCAGGTGCAGGTGCATGGCCAAAAGAAAGTCTTTCAAGAGAATGGAAGATGAACATCTCCACATAGACTAGTGACTAGTTTGTGAACGGATTTTGAGAGACAGGCAGCTGGTCAAGCCGAAGAAAGAACATTATTCCTTTCCATTTTTGTAATTGTTTGTACCTTCTGCGTTTAGGGCATCATCACAGATTGCCAGACAATTACTCAGTTTCGTGCTAGGAGTTGGTTTCAGTTTGCTTGTTAGCCATACTCGCCGCCCAAGACAACGGTAGAACTAGGACAGTCCGATCTCTTTTTTGAGCCGTGTGGCTGTGTCTGTTATGCAGAAAGCCAGCGCCGTGTGGCGGAACCATCCCATCGGTCACCCTGTCGCAACGGCGGAGTAGGTGTTCTTTCACCCACCGTTGCGTGTACACTCCGTGGACTTTTTCCCTTAAACGCTGCAGCCCCTTGACTTTTCACCTGGGAAACACCGGGTGAACTCCGAATGCCGAGTTCACGGCACACCTCAGGCTGATGTTTCCAGCCTTGGATTATTGGGTGGCGCGAGGCTTTCTGCATCTCTTCATTGCCCTCCAGATGGAGGGCACCAGCAACGACGGCATGGACGATCCTTGGATGACAGAGATGACCCCAGAGACGGCAGAGCAAAAACCATTCTTTGGTTGAGAGACCCAAGCCTAGAATTTTCCACCCTTTTGAAAGGACTATGCACAATTCTCAGTTCCCAGCACAACCCAACAGCCTTTTCAAAACTCCTTCTACAAGCCATTTGTGATTTGTCACAAGCGGGTCCGTGACCCCCCCGTTCATCGCTCTTTTTTAGTGAAGGTACTCACTTGAGAAAAGCCTGCGGGTCCAGTCCAGTCTCCGGGTGATAAAACTGAAACTCAAGTCAGACATGAGACACGGGAATTTTGGTTTTAGGGTGAATTCATCCACCAGCCGTGCCACATGTGCCACCCGAGCACATCGTGTGGAAAACTGGTGTTTGGAGCAATCGGTGCATCTGTGTTTCCTTCTGGACATCGGACCATCCGCTAACCACGTGGCATCCCCAAAAAGCGTGGAACTTCACGGAATCACAACCTCTTTGGGGATGCCACGTGGTCCACTCACACCGGGTCCACTCCCCAACCCATCGGTGTTGGTCGTCCGGAACCGGCTGTCTCAGTCGGCCACGCGGGACCTGACGCGGATCGCCTCGGTGGCCTTGGTCTTCGTGGGGGGCTTCTTCATCGCGGGCGCCTTCTTGCGCCTGGGCGGAACGGGGCGGAAGGGGGAGGGAGGATGGAGGAGGATGGAGGAAATCGAAGGAGGATGGGAGGCGGATGGAGGTTTGTTTGTTTTTGGGTAGTTTCTTTACTTGGAGAAAGAGACTCTATTTCGGGGTGGCAAGTTGGAGAGAAAGATTAAAGATTTGAGGATATAGAATCTGAAAGGAGGACAATGGAAGGGGTGTGAAATGGGGGCTCCTCATGTTTCTTTTGCCATGTGGGTGTGTTGGAACAAGGAGACCCTAACACCCAGCCAAGGGTGTTTGAGCTGGTCATTTCATCGATGCGTCCGGAACCCCCGCGTTTCCTCCCGCGATGCCTGTGGATCGCCCGTGGATGTGGAAGGCTTTCATGGTGCATCAGGAAGTATTGTTGAACGCCTCTGGAAGCACCTGGACAGTCCACCACATCGTTCCTTCGGAGGACCCGAGCATGTTGGCTCAGGTCACTGAGCACTGAGCACTTGGACCGTTTCCAACCCGTGGCCGTTCGGTCCCGTTGAGTCTAGGCATGTGAGAGAAACTGGTGGTCAGCTGGGGGACCCTTTTCTTTCCATTTGCAACTCCCTCAAAATAGAGTATCATTCTTTATCTCTCTATATACATACATATACAGTATATATATATATATATATATTCTTTTTTTTTTTTTGCACATCCTCTTTTTCTCGTCCGTTACGCTCCGTTGGCCAGCTTCAGGATCTCTCTTCTCTTCCAACGTGTTTTGGACTGTTTGAGCTGTTCAGTGCCTCGGTCGCCTCGGGAGGTGCTTTGGGCCGCTGGAACGACGACAGCAGCGGCTCGCGGTGAGAAAAGAGGAGATTGGCAGGGGCACCGGAGGGTCACCGGAGGGTGCCAGATAGGCAATGCGATGTCCGAAGGGCGGAGGGATTCGGATTTCAACACAAGCTGCCAAAAGGGGTGCCATTCCGGCCCAAATGACGCCATCTCGAAACAACAGCCAGGCAATGTACCCTCAAAAACAAAAGGAGGATGGAGGACAATCTGCTCATTGGGGCATACCGTACGCCCGTATTTCCAGTTTTGGGATTGTTGCCTCAAACCCTCCTTGTTTTTGCCTAGGGACTGAAAACCGGACCCACTTTTCTGACATTTTTGGACTCCACGATGCTTGGTCATGTCGGGGGGGGGGGGGGGGGGGGGGGGGGGGGGGGGGGTGAGGATCAAATTCCCCGCAGTTGAGCGTGTAATACACAGTATCCCTGGGTTCAACTCACAGTCCAACAAGGTTCACAAGAGCGAGTGAGCGAAGGCGATCGAGCAGCTGTTTCCACACTCACATTCCTTGAGCCAAATGTTATGGCATGCCAATGCATTGCGTAAGAGCATGTTGCAAGACACTGTAACCAAGTTGAAGCAATAGCATAAGCGGGGGCCCAAGAACAGAAAACATGGGGGGGGGGCGTTGTAATTTCGTTCTTGCTTTCACATACGTCTCATGAGCATGAAGGCTCAAGACGTAGCCACGGTGTGTGCTTTAGTTTTGTTGTGTCGGTTGTCGGGTGTTCCTTGTCCTCCTCGTTTTTGTGTTTTCTGGTGTGTCAACCCTTTTTCTTTAGACCAGTACGTAGACGGCTTAACTCGTGACTGTTCTGACCCTTTAGTTTCTTTTGTTCACGAAACAGTTTTGGGTTCAGATCGTGGCTGGGTAACAGGTGTTAGAAACTCGTCTTTCGTTGTTCGCACCTTGGTGCAATGTGTGGTTGAGGTTTTCTTTTTCGAAAGAACAGAAACTAACTCCTTTTCTGTTGGCGACTGTTGGTGTTGAGTTGGCGTTTGTTGCGTAGTTGTAGCAGCTGCATGTCGGATGGGTGCGCCGCCGCTGATTTGCTCGACAATGGCATCGATGAAAAAGACTTGCACTCGGAGCCTGACTGGGGACAGCTAGTTGCACAAAAAGCAGGCAACTTGAGGTGTCACGGAAAAACTTTATATTTAGGCAAAGCGCATGACAAAGCACTGCGTTTACCAATGAATTTGACATGAGAACCTGCAAAATAGGGTACGGTTTCCAATCCGTACGGTTGTTTTTGTCCAGTTGCTCTTGTGGTTGACTGGACCAAAGGTGAACATCTCCGAGTTAAGGTAGCATACCACCCCAAAAGAACAAGATATATAGGATGTTGATGTACATATGTATGTATGTATGTATATATATATCTTTCGTTACTCCCCTCAGGAGGTGATGAAGGAGCTTTCTGAATTGGACAAAAGGAAGAAAGCTTTGGAAAGCGAAGCAGGGCTGTGAAAAGAACCAGCAGCTGTTTGCCGCTTTCTGCAGCAGTGCGAGGGCTGTCTCTTTGGAGTGGGCGGAGCCGCAGGGTGCAATCCCAGGGCTTTTTGCAAGACCCAAACCACATTGTAGCAGCCAAAAATGGACCCCAAAAAACACATGCGTTGCTCAGGAACTTTTAGTTTTTAGTTCAAACCACGCGTGAGCCTCGTGACGATACCCAAGCTTCTATATATATATATAGATTCTATAGATATAGATATCGATATAGATATATCCTTACATCACCAAAAGTGATGGAAAGAACTTGGGAAAAAACGCATTTGGCATCTCACCAGCTTTGACATTGGCATTTGGGTCATTTGGGTCGATCCTCGCGGTTCAGCTTGCCATCGGTCCGGTGTGGCTCTAGCTCCCCTCTGGCGGCCATCGGTCCGTGCCGGGAGCAGGCGAGGGGGGATCAAGGGGCGATGAGTTTCGCGCGATCACGGAGATGCACTAGTAACAAGAAACAAGAAGAAACTCCTCGGAACAAAGGGCATCGTTACTAGGAGCAAGGACGCTACTAGGGGTGCTCCTGGCATTATTACTATAAACAAGAAACTACTAGTGCTTCCCTGCAAGATTTGTGGCTGTGTCACATGGTTCATTTGACGGTCTCCCCAGTCGTTCGGAGCAAACCTGTGGCCCCCGCCACACGCTGAAAGGACGAATCCACCGGGTTTTGAGACTGTGTGCAGGTTGAATGAAGCACCCTTGAGAGGGGCCGAACGTGCGAATCTCAGCATCTCCAAGTCGAAGTGCCTCCCGCAACGAGCCTCAAAATCATTCTACACACATATACATTGTGTGCCATTTAAAAGAGAGAGAGAGAGAGAGCCGTTTCTTGGTTTGGTTGAATGTCTTCTTGGCTCCACTGTGTTCACTCAAGCGGCATCTGGTTCTCGCCAAATGTGAGCGGTTTCAGCCAGAGGTCGACAATGCAGAGTCTCATCATGGAGCTGGGGCCTCATAGAAATGCTGGTGTGTTGCAAACCCAAATAAAGGGAACATCACAAAGGGGTTTGTGTTTATGTCGATTTCATCCCTGTGGTAGGGAGTCCCTTGCCTTTTCAAACAGAGTCCAGGTTGTGGATGACCAGTTTCAATGTTCAGAGCCCAAAAGCTGGGCTTTTTCCACCGGGACAAGATCCGAGGCCGGAGCCGAAACCCCAACGCATGGAGCCACTGAAGTTTTTGCCGGTGGTTTTTATGTGTGGTGGCCCAGCGGAGCAGATTCTTGAGATGGACAAGAGCAACACCAGCTGCTCCTATTCCAGGGTTGCACACCTTGGATGTGTCTTTGGTTCAAACACCTTTGTGGCTTGTGCCACGGAGAACGGCGAACTCAGGTTCGCCACCATCCTATTCCTGTATCTTGGCGCAATGCGGTTCACAAAAGTCGCGGGTAAATGTACCCATTGCTGGCAGGACAAAGTGGAAGTTTCGGTGCTTGGGTAGTTTCCAATGATCAGATGAGTGTAGGAGCCCTGCGAGTTTTGGGAAGACACCAGTATGTTAAATGCATACGGATACGCCTCTTTGTTCACTGTTGTTTGATGGAACGTGCCATGCCAGCAAGCAGCAGAGACTTTCCGAGTTGTGCAAGCAAGTTACAAGCTGCCTGGGGTTGTAGCAATGAGCCACAGGTTTGGGATGGCAAAGTGTCCCTCTTTTTGAACCCGACGAGCATTTCAAGTGGTTGGAATATGTTTGAGTTCCTTGGAACTTTTGACAACCTTGAGATATGACTTCCTGCCTTGGGCTTCATTCCAAAATGAATGTTTTGCTTGTTTACAGCGACCAAGGACTCGTTTTGAATTGGCGAAGTTTGTTTCAAGTTGGACTTCCTGGCTCATCCAGAAATAGGTTGCAGGGCCGACGCAGACTACTGACTGTTGAGCCTTTCCCGCTTCTTTTGTGGCAGGTATGTGGCCTATGTAGTGCAGCACTGCGCCCTCGACTCAGAAGGGGTTGCAAAGTAGCCTGAAGAAATGTGCCATGTAGCGTGCAAAGTTGGCTCTCGAGCCATCAATTGCACAATGCAGAGACATCTCAAATGCACTGCCAACCTGTTGGTGACCATCAGAGCCATTGTCATTGTCTGTCTGCCTTTTGTCCAAAACAACCGCGCGATTAACGCGAGCTCGCCCAGATTCCCCGCCCCCAACTGGATGTGGACCCGAAGCTGGTGGACAAGGACATTAGGCTGATGTCCCGAAAGGGGTCCGATTCCACACGCTACACGAGGATACGAGACGCTCCAGAAGGAGTAAAACACAACTTGCTCGTCTGAAGGCGACCGGTTCATAAGAGTTCTACCTTTCTTCCTCATTTGTTTCTTCATCCCGTACTCTTCCCTACTGGGATACCCTTAGAACTGGCAGGGCCACAGCCGTCTGCTCACCTCCTTTGCCAGGGCCCGCGGGCAGTTGGAGTTGACGGTCTTCCATTGGGTGACCGCAGGGGTTCCGAGAGATGGGCGGAGAGACGGCGCGCGGCATGGGCGAGCTCGCAACGCGGTCGGCGAGGTCGTGGCGGTTGGAGGCACCTGAAACTGAAGTGCCAGGAGCCCCTAGTAACCCTAGTAGAGCTTGTTCCTAGTAGCGTCCTCTACCCCCTGTCCTAGGTTGGATTTCTCATCCGAACTGGTTGGTGCGAACTGGGGTTGATGAGTTTTCCTTCCAGACTCAGTTCCGCACCTGCCCTGATGACGTTCGCCGGGCTTCCCGGTTCCTGCTGACTTTCCTCTCCAGGCTCTGATGACGGTCTGCTACGTCCGTGCGATGTTCACCAGCCCGGGCACGATTCCTTCGGATGACAAGTACCGTCCTTGGGCCCTGGGCGGCGAGGCCTTGCAGCGTCAGTTGTGGCTGTTGAGGGTGGGTGGCTGAGGGCAGCGATTTCGAAACGGTGAGTAGCGAGCTACCTGTACTGAGGAACTGGGAGTATCAGGAGGACCGAGGAGCTGGGAAGGTCAGTTTAGGTTCAGACTGCCAGACACTAGAAGGACTATGATGATGATTATGATGATGATGGTGGTGATGATGATGATGATGGTGGTTGAAATTGTTTGGAATTATATATCTATATAGAGATAAAGGCTTTGTAACAAAAGGTGACTCCCGAGCACAGTTTTGTCTTGTGAGGACTACTTCAGCTTCCTGCCTAGCTTTCTCAAAGAGACGTAGCTTGGCAGAGATATTCTCGGATGATCTGGAATCTAAATCTAGATGTTGTTCGATTACCAACACTGCTCAGGAAGAGGAGTGGAGACAGGCGGCACTGCAAGTGGTGCAGCAAGTTTAAGCTTGGATCCCAGTTTGCCACTTGCTGAACAACTCTTTAAAAATTCATCTTGCTTCATCCAGGATTGGTTCACTACTCTGGTCTGGCCGATGTTTTGATCATTGCTCAAATGATCCATCAAAGGACATTAACCTCAATTCTTGGAATTTGTTTTGTGGAGGATGCAGACACCAAGTTGATAGGGTTTGCAAGATCTTCTTGGCATTTGTTTTGAGCAAAAGCATGTGGCTATTACCTCGACGGTAAATTCGGACACTCAGGCAATGAAGAGACCCCAGAACTACTGTCACCAGATGTTGGTAGGGTAGGTGTCAGTCAGTCGCTTTTTTTCACTATAAGCTGTCAGCCACAGTGGCATGATCTTTCATGGTTTCATGGCTTTCTATTGACAACCACTCCTTCTGGCTGCTTGTCAGAGACTTCTCGCGGCGTTTGAGACCGGGGTTGACTCACACTAGCCCAGTGGCTCCTCGGACTCTCGCCGCCTCTTTTCAAGGCCTGATCGCACTCACCATTGCCGCGTTTGTAGACAATGCACTCTGAAGATGGAGCACTGGGCATGGGGTTCCTGAGGGCGAGAACGCGTTGGCACGTCAACTTGATGTATCACGTGAAAGGGTGCTGTGGTGTCGTTCGGCATTCTTTTCTCTGAAAGAGTGACAGTGCTACTATGACGTGCAAGCCGGGATCCAACTCCAAACGAAGCTTGTAACATCTTGTAACCACCTATTTTCCCTGCCAAACTGGCCATGATACCATTTTCGCTCAAAAGAGCTGTGATGGTGAAAAACAGATGCTCTATGCTCGATGCTTCCTTTGTTTTCGGTCTTTGTTTCGATCGGGCGACCAGGACCACCACTGCCCGTGGATTTACAACTGCGTGCGGTGACCCGGTCGGACGGTACGTGGCTCATCCTGGAGCGAAGAACAGGCGCTGTTCTTGTGGAGCACCCGTTTCGAAGGTGTTTGTTCTTGTTCCTTTTTTGGTGGTGGTGGTGGTGGTTCTGGAGGGTTTATATGTAGTAAGTTTAGTTCGTACAATGTTCCTACCTCCTGAAGAGCTGGGTGCTCAGCCCGTGGGGAGAACGAGTACGTCGGACCGTGTGCGCGTTGGATGGATCCAATGTCTCCCAAAGACTGGGCGTCTCCTCCAGACTGGACATACCCGGACCGCGGTGTGAGGTGGGATACTTCAACTACAAGTGACCTGGCATGACATCGGAAGCCCGACCGAGTGCCTGGTGTTTCGGTCGGCGGCCCGTCAACGCGCCACATGACAGATCTTTTTCCCGTGAAGAGTCATAGCGACTATGCGGCCAGAGGCAATTGGGGCACTTTGCGCATAGCATCCATGTTTGCAATGGGACACCTCGAACCGCCGGTTTTGGAGAAGCACAACGTTTCAGTAGGGAGTTCTGTTGAAATTTTTGTCTTGATCTGAACCGCGGAGAGCGGGAGATGGCCAAGTGAGGGCCACGGCGCCGATGGACGGCACGGCCCTTCGTTTTTCTGCAGACACGGCGCACATCGCGCCGAGTGCCGAGGTGGTTCTTCCTTCTGCTTTTCTACTGCATGATCAATCTGCATTTGATCACATGGACGATGGCCACTTGGGATGGCCACATGGGGCCAGAAGGGTGAAGCCATCGCCGAGTCGAAACCGGGAGTCTTCCCATGTGTGAGACCTTTGGAACTGTGGCCCCGTTGGTGAATGCGTGAAGGATGCTTCAATACGCTCTATGGCAGTCAATCCAAGGGCTCAGCTGGTGGAGCATGCATGGTATTGTCCCAATTTTGTGGGAAGGGGAGAGAGGAGAGGAGAGGGGAGGCAGATATCCTCAAGCCAAAGTAGAGGTTACGTCCTTTTTCGAGATTCATATCTCAATCCGTTCTGCCGTGGTTGATGAAGATCCACTGCCGGAAGGATGTTGAAGGTCCGTTGGAAGATGCTCCCGAAACTGGCTTGAACGTTCCCCTGGTATGTTAGTGTTCCATTCTCAGATGTGCTGCACATGTTTCAAGCTGACCCCTTGCTGGTCCTCAACAGCAAACCCGCCAGCGAAAAAGATCATCCGCCGAGTGTCACAGGTCCATCGCACCAACGGGGCGATCGTCCTCCCCCCGCCCGATTCAGGTCGAGACTGTCTGGCGAGTTGTCGAAGTTCCAACTCCACTGTTTGCCATGCCACTCGGTCCCAACTGTCAGCGGTCGCGACGTTGCGGGGCACCGAGTGTTCCAGGTCGACCATGCGTCCGACGACGCGCGGAGTTCGGCACGCGGAACTGAACAGATCGTGTTGGGGTGCACCAGTGACGCCAGTAACGGGTTAATGGAGAGAGATGTTCGGAATTCTTCAGGGGAATCATCTCAAGTCTTTGGAATCGAGGTGGGGTTGTGTTTCCTTCGCAGTCCGTCCTTCCAAGAATACCACAAAGAGGGCTGCGGAAGTCTCTCTTCATGGGGCTGGATCACCCAGTCCAGTGCTCTAACGAAGAAGGGGCTCTTTTCGAAGGACACGACGAGAGTGCTCGCTGCTGCTCCGCTGCTTCTTTCTTCGACTCCTCGTCGTCTCGACCAAAGGTTCATCGTCTTCTTCACTGAGACGTTGGCGGCGTTCATGACGCTTTTGGACACTGGGATTGACTGGGGATGGGCCGGGGGGTGTCCAAAGGCGATGTCGGGTATTACCCTGTGGCCTGTTGGGGCCATGAACCTTTTTCTTGTCCACAAGTCTTCGAAGGTAGATGCCTAAAAATTGGGAGGTTGATATCTGAGCGAACATGTGTGTTCCGTTTGGAGTGACATGGATCTTTGTCAACACAGGGTTGATTCTTTCCATTTCTTTCAGGTCTTTCTATTTTCTCCTTCTGAGTAGTTTGCAAAGAAGTAAGGGACCGCCATCAATGGTCAAATCCGAACTGCTTTGTTCCGAACAGATCAATCCGCTCGCCGGGTGCGCCGGGTGGAGTTCACGGAGTTCCTCGCATGTCCAGTCGGCTGCGCAGCTGAGATGTGCCGAGTCGGCCGAGTCAGCGGTGGAGTCAGCTGGTTCGTCCGTCTTTTGCACGGTTTTGATGTTCACGGTCAGACACACTCAAGATCTGACAGATCTGACACTACTGGCACTGGGTGTCCTCCTTTGGGTTCGGACCATCGGAGATAGCAGGTGAACCACTTGATAGCCGAGTCTTGCACCCCTATCTGGAGCAGGTGACGCTCTTCTTTTTCTTCCACTGCTACCTGGTGGTCAACGTCGCTTGGCAAAACAAGATCCCTAGGCCCTAGAGATGCCTAGAGATTCGGTGATTGCAATGGCGAAGCAACATGAGTTGCTCAAGATCTTAAACGGATTCTTCTATCCCTCTGCCCTCTGCTGGCTTTCGACACTTTTGGATGGTGGGCTCCAGGGACCGTCACGGTGATGCCTTGAACCCCCCGACCTCCGAAGACTTCGTGGCTCTTCTCCCGACCTCCGGCCTCCGTCGACAGGGGATGAGCACCATTGAGTTCTGCGTGGGGCCCAGGACGGATGGCGGACCGGTGAATCCGAACCGGAGACCCGGGCGGACGTCTCCGGTGTTTGTCCGGCTTTTCTCCGAAGATCCACCACAGGCCGAACACAACCCCCTGCGGGTGAAGTGAGTTATATATATATATATCACTATATGTATATAGGTATTCTTATATAATTGAAGTTCTTGCATGCCAGAAGCTCTGGCATGTCAGGATGAGATGGGTGTCTCAGCTTTCTTCGATTCCTCCTTCAAGGGCTGTGTTCTTTTTTTTTCTCCCTCGCACCGGGATCAGCAGATGCACCTGGGATCACCATCATGTACAGACCCAGAAAGCAATTATATATAGGCAACATCATGGCGGCTAATATATGAATATACATGTATCAGCAGATCCGGTCTTGCACTTAGACCTATCGAGACAGGGGTGCGCACAGCGCGCCAGGACGCACGTCAGGACATCAGGTCGGTCAGGTATCACGTTCAGGACATCCAGTGGGTTGGGCTGGTCGGTCAGTTATCACCGTTTCGCCTTTTGGACGGTGTTTCGCCGTTCGCAGATACAGTGTTTCCACCCTGGAAGGGACCCAATCACTGTATACACAGCCCGAATGTCCATTGATCCGAGTTTGTTCTCAACAAAGGCCAGCTGCCTTGATGGGCTGTCTTGATGCCTGTGATGACATGAGGTGAAAAGGTGATGCCCAAGGGAGAGGTCAACGAGATTCCAGAGAATGTGTGCGCTGGAGGATGTCGTTCACAGGTTGAAGGCTGTGGAGTTAAGGCTATGGGCCAACAAAAAGGGAACGAGAGTCTGAGCGGCTTGCTATCTCGACACACTCCTATTGGGACCTTGTTTTGAGTTTTGATTGGCTGCAAGAATTGCCGAAGATTGCGAGAGCCAATTGCTACTTCTGAATACATCTCAAACTCATGTGCAGCAACAGAATGCCCTGTGTCAAAAACACTCCAGACAGCGTACGCTCTCACAATTCTTTTTTTGTTGTTTCCAAGGTGTCGATTTTCCCACCTCCAGCTTCAGACCGGACACCCTGCCGCCTCCAGGTATGACCTCGGCCTCTATGGCAACATCTCAGCGGTCTTGGGCGACAAGGCACGGTCAGGGGTGCCGGACCAGCGGCACCTCTTTGGCACTCGGATTTCATGGTCACACTCACAGGGCGACGCCATCCACGCCATGAAACCAGGCAGTGCAGCGGGACGGAACCGGTGGAATGTGAGCATTTCGATGGGACAAGGGGCCCACAAGGGACCAAGATCCTCAGCAGATTGCAGTGGTCGCCGTGGGGTGCAATGCCAACCCCACAAAACCGACCGGTTTTGCAAGTTCTTGGGTTGAGACATCTTCAACACTTAATCATTTATCTTGAAGCTATTGCACGTTGAAGATGCTTAAATCTTTCAAAGGTCGGGGGCTGAAGTTCCCTGAGCTGCGCGAGCTCAAGATTTTCACTATAGAAGACTGAAAACATTTGTTGCCAAAGCTCAATCTTCACTGGTTGTGTACCCCAGACCCTCGGTGCAGTGGGCATCATCGCGCGCAAAGTTGTGGGTAGTTGTTTTCAGGCACCCCATGCGGAGCACGGTGTATTCCGCATGGACCTAGAGCAATCAAGAAGCAGATGCATTTGCTGACGTCGTGACATGTAGTTTGTCGCTGCAGAGATCCCGATCGGCGTGTGGCAGAGCCTTTGGACTACTTTTGCTTGGCCTTTGCCATTTCATACAGTTGAAGACATGCATTGATCACTCTCAGAACAGCGTGAGGTGAGCCCAATGGATGCAACTTTACAGACACCTCATATCACCGTGGAGCAATTGGAGGTTGCCATGGTGTCTTCATACTCAATGTGGAATGACGCCCTGCATGAAACCTGATCGTTTTTGTGGCAGTTGCATTGGCATAGCCAGATGAAGATCAGTCGTCGGATTCACAAAAAAAGCAACGGACTGAGCGAGTTGTACACAGATCCAAAGCCTCAGATCCAAACCACTCAAAGTGAGGCGTGGACTGATCCAAACCACTTAAAGAATTGAACCCCAAATCCAAAGGCCTCAGATCTGCTCTCATTTTGTCAGCATTGAACTGATTCATCACGCATGAAGTATGAGGTTCTTCGTGTTTGCGTCTTCTTGTTTCTCCGCTATACAGGAATCATCAACCCTGTAGACAGCGCAAAAGCAACGTAGATTTCCAAGAGGCGCGGTCCATCACCGTCTCCTTCGTTTCGCCACCCTCGTTTCAGGCCCAAACCCGAGAACGCATTTCCATTCCCACCTGGGAAGCGCCGGAATCGCCCGTCCGGGTGAAGTCGAAGGAAGAGATGAGAAGCGTACGTGCCCGCTGTGCCCGTCAAAAGAACTGCAACATCTGGTTCCCCACCAGAAGGAGCTTCGTCAGATTTGTTTGCACTCATCGGCTTGCCAGTAGAATCAACCGATCAACTCAGATTTGATGAAACTCAAACACGAGGGCGGCCTATTGTTTGCGAGCATTATACATATTTTACATATATAAATAAATAGCTTTGTGCGTTCTTGCCAAAGCCCTTTGTGCTCGACCCGGATAACCGTTCTAGCTTCAAGATCAACACAAGACTCAGTTCCACGTTCCCAGCCATTGAATCCGAGGGTGTTCCATTTGGTGTCCAGAAACAGGGAGCCCTATGACGACTAGGGAGACCCTTTGGCGCAATGGCTTGGTCTAGGACTGGTGTCCAAGACTTTAATACAACCGACACTACTAGGAACAAAGGGCATCGCTACGAACGGAGCGTTCGGACGCTACGAACGGGCCTAGGGGCGCTCCTGGCCTTACTAGGAACAAGGACGCTACGAACGGAGCAAGCAGAAATGCCCTGATCTTCCAGTTTCAGAGGCTCTCCTGTGGTTGCTTCCCGTGAATGGGCCTCCGGGCGATGGACAGGGGCGCCCAGAGTGAACGAGGAGAAGGACAGGAGTGCGTCTGGATGGGGTGAACACAACGAGGCATATTATCCAGAGAGTCTCAGATACTTGGGTACAAAGGTAGTTGGCGACCACGCAATTGGATGTTAAGATTCTTTGATATTGAGATAGACCTATCTACCTCATGATAGTAATTCTGACATCAAAGTTTTGCCAAGATTCCAACAATGGTGTCTCCAATTTGGGGAGCCCCTACCCGAAGATCCATATCTCGCGCTTTTGGATGATTTTATGTAAAAAGCAATCCATGGTTGCAATATTTGACATGTTCCAAATGTAGTGGTATGCATTGATGTATTGCTGGTTAAGAATCTGGATGATTGGACTTGATTCTTATCTAGCAACAGATCCTACAATAGAAATCAACGGTTGATGGTGGATATCCAGTGCAAAACTTTATGAAAGGGACCCCTTTCTATTAATTGTAGTTCATTTGACAAAGGGCCGTACTCCAAACCTCCGGATCAAGACATTGGAACTGACATGTGAGGCTGACGGGAAGTCAACGTTTGCATTCTCCTAGTTGTTCCGAGGGTTCTTGCACAAGGTTCATGGTCTTCCAGCCTGCCTCCCCATCCCTTCTGTCTCAGTCTTGGCGTTTCGGTGTTCCATTCCTGTGAAGGCCGTGAATCCACCGAAAGCAGCATGGACACCGAAGCGGAAGCGTGCACCGATCGCGTCCACCGATCCCGCTTCGGCGGACGCCCGCTTCGGCGTTGTCGGGTCGTTTTTGGCCTCCAAGGCTTGACCTTTCTTTCGGCCACCGAGAAAGTGGCCTATGATGACTTGGAGGCCGAGCCGTTGCCACGACTCGCAACTGGGTGTTGGACGCCCGGTGCCGGTGGTGCCAAGCACGTCGAAGACGTCTAGAGCGGACTCCAAAGGTGGAAACAAGATGGATGCTTTTGGACTTCAAATGTCGCTGGTGGTGAATTGTTGGTCCTGGCAAACTGGTAGATGCGGTGTTTCCAATGTAGGGAACAATTCAAACACCCTTGTGAAAGGGAAGATAGATGGGAAACCAAAATGAATCGTTTCAAAATTTGTCTTCGGAGTTGGTCTACACCAAGTTTCGGAGTTGGTGGCCCAATCCTCGGATTCTCGGCTTGTTCGGTTGATGGGGGGGAATCCCGGCATTCCGGCTTGTGAGACGGCCAATCGCTTGGACATCCACATCCAGAGGGAGGTTGATGCGTTACCTTCCACGATGAGAGGAGGTTCATGCACCCTTGTGAGAGTCCAGTATTATCATCAAGCAGTCTCTCAGAGGAGGGTCACAAGAGGTATGCTACAGTCTTTCGCCTTCACTGTCATGTCTGCATCTCGTGTGCATACATTATATATAGAGTGAGAAAAGGGCTGTACCCCTGGGCCACCTGGGTACAACCGGAAAAATAAGAAACCGACCTGGAAGACCAATCTGATCTCCTAGTCCTTCATTGCTGGGAGGGGGCCGAAGACGGTGCAACAGACCTTTGGTACTTTGGATCTCGTAGTGCTCAGGCAACGAAGACTGTGCTGCGAAAAGGCAACAAAGGGAGGCCGGGGAGATTGGGAGATTGATTTGTGACAAAGGCTAGGGGACTTTCCAACATGGACAGCATGTCTGCTTTGATGAGGCACTCATTCATCACCGGAAGGCCACGACAGGAACGTGGAATTTGTGGCGGTGCCGACGGGGAAGGTGTGTGCTGAGAGACGACTCAGAGACGACGGTCGACATGCGAGAAAAGGAGGCTTGGATCGGAGAAACGGAGGCTGAATGACGACCGTGGGGAATGACTAGGAGCTTCGCTCCCAATAGAGATTTATTTGGATCCAGCCACCCTCATTCATCTCATTCCCTACGAGTCGCACGATGACCAACTCAGACCTGTCGGGCCCAAGTGGTCCAGGACCTCCGTTGTAGACTCGCTGAGGTTCCCAATGTAGACTCGGGTGACTGGTGTGCTGTGAACAAGCCTGGACGGCGCTTGATGCGTCCATTCATACTAAAGGTGTCAATGGCATGGGTTCTCCGGATGGAACCAGGTTCCGGTTCCGGAACCATTTTCAGGGTCTAGAGTTCAGTGGAGATTTGTGGGAGGGAAAGGGACAACTTCATACAACTTTATGTGTTCAGTTACTTTAGTTATATAGTTGTATTGAAATATCATTCTTCAGCATTGACGCTGAACGAATGAAATGCAGGTGATGATACCCCTTGTATATTTGGTCTAGGCCATTTAAGCTATTTTGATAGTCATCAATTGGCACTTTGCCAAGTGTCGCGAGGATCACACTCCCACATCTAGCCAAAGTGGGCTTTAGACATGTTAATCCATGTTAAGTCCCAAGTTGTTGTGAATTTCATCCAACTCGGAATTCAGCGGCAAAGCAAGGATTCTTTGACCCTGTCGGGTTGCGAGAGGTTTGAAGTCTGGCTCTGAAGTGACATCGTGCAGGGAAATGCGAGACATGAGCGAGACATTTATTTTTACTGGCTTCCCACTTGTTCAACCTGATTTCTGTACAATGTGACCTCCAGTGCATCAGAGATCACTGTTTGCGGGGCACGAGAGATGTCGACTAATTAGAGCGCCGCACATCGGCACTGACTTGAGTTAAGCCTGAGCTGCTGACCTTGCAAATGAGGTCTAACTCCACCAAGCTTTTCTCTTCCTAGGTGGACACTGACCATGCCACTCTCATCAGCTTTCCTTCCCGTATCAAAAATCCTGCCGAGTTCCTGCACAGCCTCGCGGGTGGCGATGTCGCGATGTCGCGGCCGGTGATTTTCGAATATGACCCAGCGACGGGTCAGACGTTGGCCACCTCTTTGCCTGAGGAGAACTCCCCAAACGAAAGTCTCCGGGCTGGACAAAAACGACGGACGAACGTGACCAATGCACTTCTAAGGGATGCGGTCGTGTTCTTGAATTCACAGATAGTCAGTCTTCAATGTGTTTGTCAATATGACATCACATCGTCACGTTTGCGACGCACTCGCTCTTTCTATATCATATTGTGATATTGCGTTTGTATTCATATGTGTTTGTTGGCTTGTAAAGTCCTTTGCTTTACACAAAGAGCCATGGCCAACAACCCACCCCCAGCCATCAACCACTGCCACGCCACCTGTTCAGGGTTGACCATAGTTCACAGATTCAGACGAGCCGCAGGACCTTTTTCCTGTGTCCTTGGCGGACATCGCTGAAGATGGACCGTTGGAATCTGAGTTCCGTGGGCCTTGGCTGGGCTGCACGGGGTCCACATTTTTTGTATCCCAAAGATCAAAGATCTGCAGAGGCCGGACTTTTGCAACGGTGGTGCAAGGGTGGTGCCTATTGATTTTTCACTCAGTTGGCCGCGCTTGGTCCGCTGGAAGCGAAGCGCTTGGTCCGCGGTCTGCATCAGAGACTGCAGGATCTTTTGAAGTAGACCAAGTGTGGAGTATGCCCATCCTCTACAGTAGTTGCCCCTCTACAGTAGTACACCTGCTTGCAAGCTTGCATCAATTTTCACTTCTCATTCTGCTTCCAAGGTCGGGTGTGATAGCGCTTGAGGCTGGTTTTCGATCACATTGCTCCCCAGAAGAATACAGGCCGTAACAGTTGCCAGAAGAACATTAACATGTTCCAAGAGTTCCAAAGCATTTGAAGTTGAGTTTATGATGTGGTTTACAGCTCACTTGTTTGCTCCTGTTTGGCGGGTTTGATCCCACACCGGTCCCACGTGGTTCTCGAGGACAGGCTTCTTGCGCGCACGCGCGCCCCGCAGGGAACCGGAACCGGGCTGGAGATCCTGAAACCGTGGCGGGGGGGGGTCATCCTCTATTCTTCTGTACTTACACATCGACTAGAGGGTCTACTTGTAGTAGTGCCTTGGTGAGAGGACCCATATGGAAGTCAGCCTTTGAGACCAACTCGTTCATGTTGCGACCAGCACGCCAAACGGGTTCACTCGTTCACTCGTTCATCATGTGCTCCAAACACACGAGCTGCTCAAGAACAGAAGAAGAACACATGTGCTTCATGGCTCAACCAGAGGCTTCACATCTCGCAACCTCCCCAACCTTGGGAGTTTGGTGGACAAACTTGGACGAACCGCACCCACTCGAAAAAGCACACACCGGTCACCGATGAAAATTGCCGGTGGATTGGACTCCGCGAAACAGTCTTTGACCCACTCACAACCGCGTCTCCAGGCCTCTGCTCCCTTGGAGCCGCAGCTGGGAGGCGGGATGAAGGATGGAAGATCGCAAGGAGTCTGGTGGAGGACTGGGGTGGAGCCTAGGGCCTAGGACGGGAGATTACTCGAAGGGGTTGACCAGAGGTGTTTCTTTTTCCAGCCATGAGACCTGGGGCCGGAGCTTTTCCTGCGCTTTTGTAGCCTTGAGCTAGAGATCTTGTCAATGGTGTGGTACTGATAAAACGCCCTTCTGCCAGGTGGCCTGGTCCATTTTTCCTGAAACTTTGGTGGCTTTTGCTGGCAAAGGTGCTATGTCACTGATTTCCGAGGTTGCAGGCGCTTGTGCAGGGACCAACAGGGCGGTGTCCCCAATCCGAACTCCCCAGGCACCATGTACGGACGCACCCCCGGTGGGGCCAACTGTGCGTGCCAGGGAAGTTGTGGCTCAAGAGAAGTGAGTTGCCAAGGGGAGTTCTTCCCCCATGCCGGTCCCTGATGGGCCCACAGAGGGGATTTTTGCCAAGATCTTCTTTGCATGGATCATCTTGGCGGTGATTTTCTATGTTTGGTCCTACGTGCGCGACGGGAAGTTCATTGGAGAAGACAGCTGGGACTCCGAACCCATCGATTCCGCAGATGATCCCAAGAAGGACTGATGCAGACTGGGCGGACGTTCCGCCAGCACGCCTCTGCAGACGTTCCGCCTCTGCAGCCAGGCTGGTCCGAGGAGGTCATTGACCAGCGCGTTCTGCCGTTGTCGGTTGTCGGCGCGTTCGGTCGTTGTGGGCGAGGAAGTGACGACTGAGGACTGCAGCACCGATGCGGGCGCATGTCATGCTGCCATGCGGGAGGTGGAATCTGCTCAGCCATGAACTGGTTGATGTGGACGATATGTCCTACTCGGCGCTGAATTGGTGTGCCCCAAAGTGGGCAGCTGTACAACAAAGCCGCGCGATCAATATCCATGTTGTGCGGTCGGAAGTCACTGCGAGTGCAAAAGTAAATATGGTGGTGATTGCTGGTGTTTGTTTCTGTCACCGTCTGTCACGTCCATGTGAATCTGTCCATGAGTATGTTTTAGACGGCTATTTGATCACAATTTTTTAGATTGGCAAGGGGTCCGTGGAACACACTTCCCAACGCCAATGACCTCTTTTTCTAATCAAAGACCTAAGAACCCTCCATGATTTTCTGTTTGGCCTGCAGCTTGCCACGTTCTCCAAAGTCTTGGGGATCCTCCTGCTTCGCCTGAGATGTGGTGGATGTGGTTCGAAGTTTCCAAAGTCAAAAAGCAGCCGCAAGCTTGGATGTTCATTTTCCCAATGACCAGTGTGTTTGGATGGCACGTGATGCCACCCTGATGCCTTTCCAAGGCCAATGCCGCAAATGTAGACGGTTGTTGATATTTGTTGCAAAACACCCCTTTGTGGAGATGTAAGCCATGATGGCACTGTCCCTTTTTTGAGTTACTCAACAGTCTATGGTTTTCCTCTTCGCTTATCTTCGCTTCTTTGCCAGGTCCATGTGGCATCCTGGACCCGGTACCGCCGCCCCCGCCGCTGCCACCCCTTGAGCCCCGCGCGCCAAAGCCGCCCGCGCAGCTCAACCAGGCCGGCTCCCAGTGGAGGGAACAATGATGAAAGCTGAGCTGACACAAAGGCAGCAGAACTTCAGAACCTTGCAACCAAATGATCATGATGAACTGATGCCTTCCCTTCGTTGGCCACCAGAATCACCCCAATCATGCAAATAGACAACAAGATGAAATCAGAATAACCCACGGTGGATGAAAACACATCACGTTGCTGTGACTACCCAACGGGTCCAGTAATTGTCCTGTACACCAAATCGATCAAACAAGATGAAATGGAAACCAATGCTGCACTCCAGCCCCAAGTTTGGGCCCCCAACAGACGGGGAAAGAAGACAAAAATCTCCGCCCAAAGGCAAACCGTCGAAGGAAGAAGTGGGATTCCTCAGGAAGAAGTTAGAATCTGATGAAGCCGTCGAATGTAGACTCTGACTCAGTCGAATTAAAAGCCTCGAATTATATAATCAAGAGTCCTAAGGCATCCTAAGGCTAACCTGTCAGAATCTGATGGATCCCTCAGGTGGGCAAGGCCAAAGTTCGCCGGGCGGTGAAGCAGGCGACCAACCGTCGCCGGGACGCGTGCGTTGGTCGACGTGGAGAGAGGACGCGGCGGAGGATGACTGGACGTGGATCAGGTGGAAGCACTGGGCAGGTTGACTCCCGCGCAGACTCCGGTGCCGGTCCGTGACCATCTACCCATTCCAATGCCCGGTCGCGTGGCCTGCAATGCAGTTACCTTTGAAGATGTACTGCAGCCAATCTTTTTGCCGGGAGCTGTTGTCAGCACCGATCCCCAAGAGAACCAGATTCGACCCTAGAGGCTCCAGGAAGCTTCAAGTGGTTTAAACATGAACCGGAGGCTGTTGGCCATCGGCGCCCTTTGAATAGCTTTTGATCCTTGAAGATTCTTGAGGGAGCCTCGCTCGATGACTTAGTCCGGCGGCCCAGAAGGTGGCTTCTTTGCTGGAAGCGGGGGTCCGTTTTTGCA